TTATATATAAATATATAATTTAAAACTAGAGGTGCTTTAAATTAAAAACTCTTCTCATTCACACAGTTAAACATTTTGTTAGATCTGATATATGTCTAGGAAGTATGGTATCATTTATGCTTTTAGGGATGTTGGTACATCTGATATGAGATGTCCCTAATGGTAGGCCCTTTTCCTACCTTTTATTAAAATTTACAGCAGACTGTTCAAAAGGAAAGTTTGTATGCCTTGCATGCTTTGATTCTATTAAATCGTCACACAGCATTTGTTGCCTAACCATGAATGGCTGGGTGTGAACATGTTAAGAATAGTCTGCTCTAGTTTGTATGACTTTTAACTTGAGTTACCAGTTTCAGCCACTGGGATTTGGTATGGCTCAACGGGGCATTGTAACATTTTTCCACAGAATGTTTGTCATAGCTGAAACAGCAGATTTTTAAAATAAGCTTCTTTGTATCCATGTATGTATAATCTTTGCAACTCTTTCAATGGTATTTTAGATGAAACTATTTCTTCAGAAGCCAGAAATGCCTGAAAACCAAGCAATACATGTGACTGAACCCCCCAGCATAGATGTTCCAAGAATTCTTGAAACTCCCACGGAAGAGCCAGAAGAAGATATGACACTCGGCACAGATACAGATGGCACAAGGAACTGTCAAGCACAGTTGCAGGTTTGTTAATTGTTGAACCCTGTCTCTCCTTTTTTAATTTTATGGTTGGGAAGATAGGTAGTCAGAAAGGTAAACCTTATTTACATAAGGTAGAGTTGTAGATTACATAAGGTAGAGAATGTAGAGATACATTCTAAGGTGAATTAGGAAAAGGGAAGCCAAAGATGCATGTGGACTTGGCCTTCATCCGTCATTCTGTGAGTTCAGTTTCTGTCTTTGTTAGAACTTACACAGAGCTGAAGACCTTCTGTCCTGACCCCTTGTGACAGTGTTTGGACCTGGCTATTGATTGCTCGAGCATTGAGTGTTGCATGTTCTCCTATAGCCCAAAGTAGCGACGCACCGATGCCGTTTTTTTGGTATCGAGTACCGATATTTATATTTCAATACCTGCCGATACCAAGTACCGATTCCGGTAGCATGGAGTCAGCTTCCAGGCCAATCAGGAAGCCGTGAAACGGGTCATTACCTGCGGCCCAGCTTCCTGATTGGCTGGGAAGCTGGCTCCATGCTGTTTGGCCGACTGCATGCTGATTTGGCTGGAAAGCTGGCTTCGTGGCCAGTCAGCATGGAGCTGGCCAAACAGCATAGACTTGGCTTCCCAGCCAATCAGGAAGCCGGGCCGCGAGTCATTACCGGCCACCCAGCTTCCTGATTGGCGAGGAAGCCGCCTCCATGTTCCCTTTCGGTACTGCCAGTCAGAGGATATCTATGTATCGGAGCATTTGGGCATGTACGAGTGCTCGCCCAAATACTCGGTATCGCCACCAATACCGATACTGGGTTGCATGCAGAATAGAACTGGCCAAATAGTTATCAATTTTATGGCAAGCATGAAAATTCTGTTATATTTCTGCTTTGTTTTTAGCTGTTTTCTTGGAGGTTAACTTCAAAGCAGAACTGTCGTTTGCTCTTCTCCACTGATAAGTGCTTTCCCTTGTCATTCCACATCTGCTGGTGTCATCTTCCTGGAAGATTTTCCCACTCTTGGCATCTTCCTTCTTCAGCCATAGGGCGGCCAGTGATGATGCAACTCCTGCGCATTTATGAAGCAGAATTTCAGCCAGAAAAAAAAGCTAGATACTAAAAGTGCTTGCCAAGTTTTACAATCCAAGTGTGCACCCACTACATTAAAAAATAAATTGATTATGCCCATTAACCATCCACTATGCTGTTCTTTCTGGGTCGTTAGAATTGCTGGAATGTACAGCAGCATCTATGCTGCCATCTATGCTGCCAGTCCGGTCTAAGGAACATCCCTGCAACTGAGAACTACCGCCTACATCAGAGTGGCACACACTTTCTACTCTTCTAGTGCTGATTATTTGGAAGGCTTATATGCATGCTCGGCATTATGGGAGTACCAGTTTTTAAATTAGAAAATCAGCTGTATGTAAGCTGTTTTTATTCTTTCTAATTGCTGACCTTGGATAGAAGGTACGGGGATGCAGAATAAACCTAATGCTACCCCTCAGTGATCAGTTTAAAGTACAAAAACGTCTGGTGTATTCCTGCTCTTTATTGCTGGAGGACATTCCACAGTCCTTTTCAGAATCTTCTACAAAACACATATAGAAATCGTGCTCCGTTATTTTTTATTGATGTATTTTGTTTCTGTTGTTTCAGGATCATCCATATTTTATTCCGGATATTGAAACACTAAAAAAGAAACTGCAAGCATCGGAAGATTCCAGAGCCCAGAAAGAAAAGGAGCTAAGAAATGCAAAAGATCGAGAGAAGCGGCTGCATCAGACCTGTCGTAGCATATACCAAGAGCTTAGGAAGAGGAAGGTATTGGATGCTCAACTCCAGGAAGCTCTTCAGCCCTATGAAGGTACCAGCCAGCATTTTGCAATTTTAACCATGAACTATGACTCGAAATACATCATATTCTGCATGTGGCTGATTTATACTAGCTGCTTAGACACACAAATATCTTGTTGCATAAATATTTTTTTCTCTAAGAATTGAACAGACCAAAGCTTAAAGGGTAAGTATATTTCTCTCCCGTTCATTGAAGGACACAGGGAACAGATCGGAGATCATGTACTGTAGGGTAATATCGCCACCTGCAGGAGAAGGACGCTAGGCACAAAAAAACTAAAGACCAATTACAGCCTAGGGGCGGCCATGGTCGGTTGCTAGGGGCAACTGCGGCAACAGGCCTAGGGATGGGGGCGGTGCCTGCTGGGGTCTCTTTCCTGTGCCTGGGGCTCTGGTTTGGCATATATATTTGCCGGGGACATGGATTGTGGGGACAAACTGACTGCAGTGCCCTGTGAGGGCTGCGGCCTCTCTTCAGGGACCTCTCCCACATCCCCCCTTTGCGCAGCCTGTGCTTCTGCGCCCCTCTCCCAGTCTCCCTTGGTGTCTGCGGGGTCTTTGGGGGGGTCCGCTGGCGCA